CCTTCTGGAACCATACGTTACTTTTGTCATCACTACTATTGGAACTAATGAGCGTTTTTTACCTTGACAGGTGGCGATTAGTGAATGTCAATTGCCATGTTAATATTGATGTTAATACTGTATTTGTTGAAACAGGAAATCTTCTGGGTAACATTATGCAACTATTATTGTTTTTCAAGCTTCCTAGCTTTTCACAAGTCAATTTGCAATTTTTTTAGTTCGGCTATATTTTAGCTCATATTACAGTGCGAAATTTCAATGTGCTGAATGTAATTGCAGTTTATGCATTGAGAGGGATTCATTATAACAAATACAACCACCCAATTCATATTGCCAAATGATCTGCCAGATTATTTAACAAGCCTAATTTAGTAATTAGATTTAAAGCAAATCATTAAGTTAGCCTGAATAAAGCCCAGCGATCTGATGGTCTGTTTTCCGACAACATTGAACTTGATGAATTGATTAAACTTTTGAATTGAATTATTAGAAGAGTCAAAGGTATGACAGTTGTTGCGTGACTATCTTCCTGAAAGACATCTGTGCTGTCACTTATTCACAAGTTTGGTAGGTTACAACATTTTGATAATTTAACAGTTGTGGGTGTAAAAGTTTGAGAGACAGACGACAAATTGATTTTTCCAAATAGAGTGAAAGAAAGCTTTTCTGCTGTCAGATAGAAATTGAATTATAAAATGGACTGGAAGTTTTGATACTGAAAAAGAAACCAAACTGTTACTATTAGAGATGATATAAATAGTTAATAAAGCTTTATATAAAGTGTTTTGGATGTTCCCCACACTTTATTTAGATCGAAGATTTAAAAAAAAATCTACCTGCTTAAAGAGCCAAAATTTAAATTTATTCAAATATTTTAAGTTTTCTATATAGTTAACTGAAGTCCTGACAGCATTTTTCAAACAAGTTCAAATTTTGATTTCTTTAAACATGCAATTTTACTTTGTCTTTGAACTTAAATGTGATGGCAAATGGATTGTAAGTTATTAAATAGTAAACAAAGTAACAGTAATTTACTAAACAATTTTATTTATTTTTAAATTGTGTGTTATATATAATTTGATTTATTTAACTAAAATTGTTTAAACCAAGTTTTACATTATTTCGTTAGCATTTTTATATTTTCCTTTGTCAAATTAGTTTTAAAGAATGTATTTTTTTTTTTTTAAGATAATGCTTTTAATTTTGTAATTTTGTGCTAGTTTTTTTTTTCTCCTGCAATCTTTTATCTATTGATGATTGACTAACTCAATTGAGAAATGTCTTAAAATAAAAAATATTTTATTCTTTGATGATAAAATACATTTTTCATTCCTATATATTTGTAATATGTTTGAATACAAGTGTATAAGTTGTAAAATTTTTTGAAATATTCAGTATAATTCATCAGAATTAATTTTTCTAGAATAACTTAATTTTAAAAAACAGAGATTATTAACAATAAATTCACAAACCCAATTTTAATAATTATAATAAAATTAATTCATTAAAATTATGATATGACAGCCTAACCTCCTACATCTATTCAAATTACTTTATCTAATTATAAAATTAGCCTTATTATAATGAGATAATTCAGCATCAGTGTTTTTAACTTACCATTTTAATAATATGAAATGAAATCTCCAAAAACATTTGCTTAAATGTAATATTTTTTGTGGGTAAAAAGCCTAGTGTTATATAATGTCATGAAATAATAATAATACATGTTATATGCAGTTTTTCAATTGTAGTCTTTTGATGTAAATGTTTTCAGTGTAGTAATCACAACTCTCTTTATTACAGAACTCCACTTTTATGTTAGGAATTAGTACTTGTCTTCAGTTCACTATGATTGTTACATGTAAATTTTATTCTAGATTAATGATAAACGATTTTAATGAGGACGATTTCTGCTTTGTGTACTAAAAGTAATCTTTTGCGGGGTTTGAGTATTTGTATCCGGGAGTGATAGAAATTAGCCATTCTAACTCAAGTTAATGTCATTGAATATATTAGAAATGCAGTACAGTAAAGTTTCGATTTAATGGACTAATTTTGGCAAATTAACGTTTGTTAAAGTCAAAAGTCGGCTATATTGTAAAGTAGGTTTTACGTGTGTGTAAGTTAAAAAATATCTAAGTAAAAAACAGATAAACTAGTTAATGTAGATACATTTTTGTAATTAAAATTATGTATAAATGAAAGTTTAATTTCACAGAAAAGTTTTTCTATGTGTATTATATACACTCTGTACTTCTGAGACTGTAATAAACAAATATACAATCTAAAACCAGTGGTTACCAACATTTTTCTGGTCATGCCGCACCTAAGCATCTCTAAAATCCTAATGCCCCTGTGACATACAATTCTTCTT